ACCAGCTCTGGCCCAGCTCAAAACCAGGGCATTCCTTAACTATGGAAAGCAAACTTGAGTTTTTAAGTGTTTTCATGCTGGCTTTGGGTTGCTCTTTGGCACACTGTTCCTTTTCAGCAGGTGTGTAACACCTGTAGCTCCCCTGAGTACCTGACTGATTGAGGCTGAGCTTGTGCATGTTTATGTGCTTTGTAAATTCAGTGTCTTTATGCCTTTATGCCTACGTGAATTACTGTATCACTGCTACCATTTGGTATTAACTACACTGCTGAGATTGTAAACCGAATTTTTGAGACCTTAATCTCCTGCTGATTTCAATAGGAGCAGAATTAGTAACTATGGGAAAGCTTGATTGATTGTATTTATTTATCTATTTATTTATTTATTTATCTTTCAATCCCCTCTCCCCTGGTGCTGAATAGTAATTCTCTCAAAATCCACGCTCTGGTATTACACTAACGCTTCAGCTCACACATGATTTCAACATCCTTGCAGGGTTCAAAGAGTTAGATTATTTGGTTTTTTGTCAAACCCATACAAAGCTCTTCTCTTATTTGGATCTTCTCTCACTTTTACCTGAGGACTATTTTACAATTTTAAAATATGTGGTGTATGTGTTTGTGTGAGACGAGTTACAGAAGTTAACCCTTTCTAGGTTGCAAGTACTTGTTGCAGTATTTAAATAGCCTTAAAAAAGGTGGGGTGAGTAGAAAGCAGCAGTGTTAATCTAATTTCTGAAGATTTAATTTACAGGAACCCATACGATTCCGTTTCCCTTGTGCTGCTGTGTTTTGCTTTCACTGTACCCTCCAGCGATTTTCTGCTCATTTAATTCCTGTTTGCCTGGGGATATTGAAGATTATTTTTATCAGAATTTACAAACATCATTTATGGAGGGAAACAGTCAAAGGCTCATTTCTCCCCCTCTCCTTTATAGTTGTTAATAGTAATTAAGAAATAGGAAATGTAGAAATACATCTGAATTATAACAATATTTTTCTATTAACATATGCTTTTGTGGTTTTTTTGTTCAGATTCTAATCTCACTTTTCTTTTTACCCCTTTTTTTCCCCTTCTGTGTAGCTGAAGTCCTGTACTTCCCTCCTAAGATACTGACCAGCGTCGGTTCTAACGTTTCCTTTCATTGCATCTATAAAAACAAAACCGACATTGTACTGTCCAAGAAGGTTGTTTGGTGGCTGAATTTAGCAGAAGAAATCCCAGCAAGTCAGTATACGCTTGTGAACGATCGCGTAAGCAAAGTTACTCTTTTCAACTTGAAAGCAACAAAACCTAGAGGAAGTTTCTTCTATAACGCATTGTACTGTTGTCATCAAAATAGGGAGTGTCATCATAGATACGCTGAATTATATGTAGTAGGTAAGATTCTAGATGATTTTAAATTATAATTTTGGTACATTTTTAATAGTAAGGTCAGAATATTTTAATTTTAAACTCCAGTTTAGCTTTTACTGAGCAAGTTACGACTTGTAATGCCTTTTTTTTTTTTTGTTTGAACAATTATCACTTTATTAATAAACTTTCAATGTGTTTTAATTAGATGTGAATATTAATATCACATGTGAAACGGATGGGTACTTAACTAAAATGACTTGCAGATGGTCTGCAAACCCAAACACATTGCTTCTGGCGAGCTCCTTGCAGTTAAGATACCACAGGTACGTATAGATTTGAATGCACTCTTTATGTTTGGAAAGTGTTGCTCTGGAAATATTATTGCATCAAAGAATTCTGAATTGATGTAATTATAAAATGTGCTTGGTTTCTGTAAGCTGGGCTTTTTCCCAACTGGAACTCCAGGGTTATTAATTACGTGTGCAGAAAAGGGACCATAAATACCTGAGTATGTAACATGGATTCTATTTACCATGTTTTACAGCCTGTAGATGCAGTTTGGAAGCCAGTTCTCTTAAAAGTAGGTGTGTTTGCTTCTGTCAGTTGTAAAAATTATTCTTCTAGTTGCTCATATCTACAAATTGTAAGGAAATAAGGAAAAAACCCATTCACAGTGAGAGTGACTGAGCACTGGAGCAGTGGCCCAGAGAAGCTGTAGAATCTCTGTCCTTGGAGACCTTCAGATCTCAACTGGGCAGGACCCTGGGCCACTTCATCTGCCTTTGAATTTAACCCTGCTTTGAGTCAGAGGTAGGACTTGAGACCTCTTAAGGTCTCTATGCAATCTTTGATTTTTCTATAATTCTCTATCTTTTTTTTTTTTTCTGTATACAGACAGTAGATAAAAATACAGGGATGGAATTTAATTAATTCCAGATGGAAAAGAGCTTGCTTAGAAAGAGAGAATCAAATCTTAGGTCATAAAAGGAATATTGCTTTATGAAGGTAGCCTCTTCGGTGGCCAGAGCAATCCTTGGTTTTCATGGTCAGGTGTTTTGGCTTTATTTGGTCTGTTTAATTTGGTCTGTCCTTTGGACAGAGCAGGAGAACCAGGATGTGGTGTGGAGCACACTCATTATTGTTTGCAAAATAGAAAACTGATTATTAAATCAGTGGTCTAATCATCTTTATCTTCATTCATGTACACAAACATGGCCTGTGATAGTATTGTTTTACCATGAAACTAAAAAAATCCTTTAGAGTTACTAATACATTGAGACTGAGAGTTTTCTAGAACCATGCTAATCTTTATATAAACAAGACAGACAGACAACCCTTCCTGAGGGAAAAAAAATCTCCAGTTCTACTGCTCTGCTGGACTGGATTAGCAAAAGTTTTGGCAAACAAATTTAAATCAGCCCTGAGAGCCTAATCCTTTGGAAAGCTGGACTGTCTTCTCTGTTGGAGGTGGACTGAAGTTTTGAACTATGGTAGTACCCAGGTGAATATTTCTCAGGATTTTTTGGCCTAAGGTAATAACTGGAATGTTTGAGATTTCCAGTGGAGGCTTTTAGGGCAGAATTAGTGACTAGCTGACTGCAAAGGTAGGTTTAGTTTCAACTGTATTCACAAATATGAATATAATGAGTGTACTGCTGGGCAGGGAGCTTGAAATAAAAACCATGCTGCTCTTGCCATGTCTTTTATTCCCACTTTTTCACTGTTCAGGTTTAGCTAAAAATATTATTTTCTAACAGGAGGTGATAATCTGTACAGTTGTCAGAGTGTTCCTGCTAGATCAACCAGTGAACATTAATACAGACTGAAAATGCTTTCTTGTTTGTTTGTTAAAAGTAAGATCTGAAAGAGGAAAAATAAAAAAACTAAACCAAAAATATCATGGAGGTCCATGTGAGCGTAGTGACTATCAAAAATTGAAGTATAAGTCACTTAAAAATTTATAGCTATGAAAACACCAGTATTGTTTGCATAACACTTTATTACAAGCTTGAAATCAAATGGAAATGCTCAGGTGTTTTAATTGCCCAAGCTTGATTGTAAGAGGCATTGTAAATATCTTGGAGTTGCTGATATTGCTTAGACATAGGCAAGTCCTCATGATGAAAGTTGGAAGTTTGATGTGTTGCATCAACATCACACACATCAGTTTTTCCAGGAGCAGGCAACTATTCTTCTTAGTTCCTGAGGCAATTACATTTTACAGATGAACTCCAGCGCTCCGTGGTGAGATAGCTTTGCTGTTGGTGTTTTGTTTGAGCTGGGTTGTTACTCCATCTTCCTCTCCAGTCAGCGCTGCCAGCAGAAACAGCAGAGAAATGATCATCCTGGAAAAACAGAGAATGCTGAGCTAAACCTTCAAAGCACAAGGCACCAGTTGAATCAGTATGAGCTGTGTTGACAGGAAGAGCAGAGATTCAGCCAAGTGTAACTTTTGTGGTTCAGTTGAATAACTAATACCCCATCAGGCCACTCTGACCACGAGTCTGAGCTGTGTGCAAGCTTAGGAGAAATTAGGAGAAACCTGAAAACCTTCCTTTCCATCACTGATAAGATGTCCAGTGCCATTCTATCCAGGGTACAGGTCTCCTCTGTTGCCAGATGTGATACTGATTGTAGGTGGGATTTCAGTACCACCCTCCAGAATTGATATTGTTATGGGATTTCCCTCTCCTGGAGACTTCCCTGTACATGTCCAGTTGGTCCACGTGGCAGCTTTCCCCAGAACGCCAGTTGGTATTTTGAAAGTCATATTCCTGGCTGGAGTAAATTCTTGGCTGGAGATCTGCCTTGCTGTGTTTATTGCTAGCACATACCACTCAGGTGACATGATTTATGAGTATTTGGAGGTGCCTCCTCTTCTCGTACCTGTTTCTTCTTGTTAATCTCTTATCAAAAGATTTTGCACTGGGGAGAGCTTTCACGTCCTGCTTTTTCAGGCTAAGAGCCAAAGCTTTGAGGATCAACACTGCAGTGTTGTTTATCCATTTAGTGCAGATTCCAGTTCAAGATCTGTCCAAATAATCATCAAGAAACCCCAGATGGTTCCAGTGACACCATTTGTTTTAATTACTTTCAGAGTTCTATTTTACTGATGCCATGAGCAGCTTATCATTGCAGTGTGTTAACTGAACGGGGTTTTTTTTTTCCTCTTTTAAGGAGCAGAATTTATTGTTCTGACTTTCCAAGTACTTCTCCAAAATCAGAGGTGAAAGAATGCCATTTACAGAAGAATAATTCTTATGAGTGCACATTTCAGCCTATTTTTCTTTTATCTGGATATACCATGTGGATAGAGTTTAAGCACTTACTAGGAACGCTTGAATCCTCACCAACTTGTGTCGTTCCAGCAGATGTGGGTAGGTCAAGATTCGTGCACATCTTTCTTCACTTGTGACCTTGGATTTCATTCCTTATATGGTGTAGGTAAAGTACTTCTTCATGGCATTTTAAATAAATTAGATGGTGGAAAGAACAGAAAAACATAAGAGCTTTGATATTGTTTTCTAAAAGACATGGGATTAAATGTTATTTCCATATATTTTGCTTGGCACTGAAGCAGATTGGAACTGCAGCTGATACCTATAACATGAAACATTCAATTTTGCCTGTTGATTCTCTCAGGTGTTTTGCAAAGAAATCTGCAGAAAATGCAAGTATTCTATTTTAAAAAGCAGTCTCATTTTTAAGGTTCTTGGTTATCTAATTTTTCTGAGGTCTTCAATTAGTTAAATTTATACTTTGATAGTGTAGCACTCTGTGTATTACTTACACAGATATATTCATTTAAAATTGTTGGAATTATTCATGCTCTTGCATGCTTTTGCAAGTTTCTTTTGTGACACATAAAGCACCCACTTAAATTTCTATAAAAGCAAGAGGCAGGAACAGTGTTTGAGTGTTTTGAAACTGCAGAATGTGCAAAGCACCTCTTATTATCTGGTCTGTGACTTGGAGCGTTCGTTGGGCTGTGTATTTTTTGGACACAAATGCGAACATATGTAGAGAGGAAACATGACAGATAAAGCACAGCAGTGCTCCATGAAATAAAGCAGAATAATAAAATACATCTATAGTGTGTGTGGGGAAGCATGCTGACAGAGAAAAGAAATTAACCCAAACTATCCTTTGCATTTCAAAGTTGAAATAGAATAAGCCAAAACGAATGTCCCAAGCAGGAAAGGCAAAGTTCAGTGCATTGTGGTCAAGTGGGGTTTGGGAATTATTATTCCTATTATTACTATTAATTCGGTGGCCTTGTGGTTTTCCAGGTTGTTCCCACAAGTTCAAAGAGCTTGTCCCTTTTTGAGAAGCGAGTCTGCTGAGTATCAGAGAACGATGGGGAGCCTTGGGCCTGAGAAAGGCGGGTGGTGTGAGGGATGGCAGGTGGAGATCCTGCGCTTCTGCTGCTCAGACCGTTTGCCAAGAGGACCTGGCACCTCGTCAGCGCGGCAGCTGCAGCCTTAGTCTGTGTCGGGCACGTCTGTGCTCTCCCTTGGTTGTGGTTTTTTTGGGGAACAGTGGTGGCTTTAGATGGTGCTGCCCAGTGAGGAATTCTAGCAGCACTTGAGAAATCTGGTTTATTCAAATTATCACTTTTAATAGAAAGCAAAGAACAGCATTGACCTACACTGAATGGAAGGTGCTCTGTAAAACAAAACATACTCGTTCTAGCACCACTCAAAATTTAAAGCTCATTTCATTATTTATTTAATTTTTTAAAATTGTTTTCTCCTCACTCCCCATCTGGTTAATCAAAACAAGTTTATTCTAACTTTGCTTTAGTAACTGTGGTGGTTTGGGTGGATTCACCCCTTTTTGCTTGCACCTTGCAGCCAAACAGCCTGATCTCTCACCCTCCTCCCCCCCTTGACCAGAAAGTAGGGGAGAGAATTGGAAGGAAAAGGGCAAGGAGACTCAGGGGTTGAGATAAAAACTATTTACTAATTAAAATAAAATGATACTGATAACAGCAGTGATAACAGACTATACAAATGAGTGATGCACCCCTGAGATTCACAAACTAGGGCTTTGTGACATTCACCTTCAGTCTACTGGAGAAGCTCAATTTTAGTGGAATTTCCTATTAGTAAAATAAAAACTTAATGTGATATCTCCACTAATCATTGCATGATGTCTGTCACCATCCTTTATAGAACCTGCCTTTCTGGGTGCACCCCATTATTGCCAGGCTGAATCTTTTGCTCTTTGTACCAGGGGAGGTACCAGGTGCTGGCACCAATCTAAGCTATTGCAGTTTAAATTAAAATTAAAGGTACTGAAACTTGCCCATGGATTTATTTTTTTTTTTAATAAAAGATTTATTAAAGTAAGAAACTTTAATTTTAATAATAATACTACTTAATATTTAAGTACTTAATACTTTAATAATACTTAATCAAAGTAAGAAACTTTGATTTTACTATTTCAACTGAGTATTTTTCAGTTGTGATTTTAGTTTGGATCAAAATTGGAATGAATTTCTCATTAGACAAACATTGTGTTTCTCAGCCAGCAACGCTTCTGTGTGCAGTGAATGGTCCAGCCAGCCTGGATTTGTGATTTGTTATGTTTGCATTATAGCCCAGCTTTACTTGGAATAGCAGTGGCCACAGGGTGTTACCTGCCACCCTCAGGACAGAAGAACTAAACCATGATGATGAGACTTAATGAGAAATGTCAGTGCAGACATTACACTCATTTTAATTTCTTTTTTCTTTCAATTTTTCTAGTGAAGCCGCTTCCTCCCTCCGATGTTAAAGCAGAAATCACCAGGAATGTTGGGCTGCTGAACGTGAGCTGGACAAACCCCATATTTATGAACAATGACCTTAGATTTCAGATTCGGTATGCTGTGAACAGGGAGGAAATCCCATGGGAGGTACTGTCTTTTTTCATCTAGACTGAAGCAGGAATCACCGCAGTGTTGTCGTTTAGGGTGGTAGCTGGTTGTTGTGGAATTTATGGCGTGTGATAAATCACAGTTATAAGCATTTGCTTTATCTAGCAAAGGAATGTCACTGATTGGATATTGGATTAATTATCAGGGACTTTGACTCTAACAGATGCCTAAACAGCCTTTTGTGCTTACTCTAAATATTTTGACTTCTGTTACAGCTTTATGAAGTTTCAAATGCCCCAAGATCAGCTGTGATAAAAGTTCAGAAACTTTGTGTTGAGTATGTGGTTCAGGTCCGGTGCAGAGAACTGGATGGATCTGGTTACTGGAGCAACTGGAGCAGACCAGCCTATACGCTGGTGAAGGATGTCAGAGGTAGGTGTGCCTTCAGCCTGCACTCTGATGCTCTCTCCACTGTCACACTGAGGTGTGACACTGTTCTTTCAAAACTCTGTTATCTTGCAGCTCCCTTACAAGGCCCTGAATTCTGGAGAATTATCACTGAAGATCCAGCAAGGAGGCAGAAAAATGTTACGCTCCTGTGGAAGGTGAGAACAATCACGTTTTGGTCTTTCACTTTGATCCAAAAACCATCAGTAGAACTGCCAGAAAGGGGGTATGAGATGCACGTGCTGCCCTGGGAAGCAAACTTGGGCAGTTGCTGTTCACGGGACCATGTGTGCGAGGCACTGGGGATGTGACTGTTGTGCTGTATTGTGAGTGAGCACTGGACTGGGAGTCAGTCGAGGGAGGTGATCACCTGCTCTGCTCTGCACTGGGGCGGCCTCACCTCCAGCACTGGGGGCAGTTTGGGCACCACAGGAGAAAAAGGATCTAAAGCTGCTGGAGAGTGTCCAGAGGAGGGACACAACATTGGGGAAGGGTTTAGAGGGGAAGGGTGTGAGGAGAGGCTGGAGTCACTTGGTTTGTTCAGCCTGGAGAAGAGGAGACTGAGAGGAGATCTCCTGGGGGTCTAGAACTTCCTCCCAAGGGGAAGAGGAGGGGCAGGCGCTGATCTCTTCTCTCTGGCCACCAACAAATGCCAGGAGCAGAGGAAATGGCAGGAAGATGTGGCAGGGGAGGGTGAGGTTGGCCATGAGGAAAAGGTTTTTCAGGAACCCAGAGGGTGGTGGAGCACTGGAACAGGCTCCCCAGGGAGGGGCTCATGGCACCAAGCCTGACAAGATTCCAGCAGCATTTGGCCAACATGTGCCCTCAGGGACATGGTGTGAATGTTGGGATTGTCCTGTGCAGGGACAGGAGTTGGCCTCCAGCATCCTGGTGGGTCATGGAAAAAAAGCACATCAGTGACTGCCCACTCCTGTTTGTCTGTGTTTAGTATGGAAACTGTCATCTGTTCTGGTCTTTCCATCCTGGAAAATACTAACAAACCAGTGAGTTACTGCAGGACCCTGAAAATGTGTGTTTCCTTGTCCCCTCTGCCCTCCCTTCACTGGAAAGACAGCAAGTAAGTGTGTCAGCTCTCAGAGAGAGAGAGAGACAGGAGAAATTAAGTGTGTAAGTGGACTACAGTGCCTTTGCTGAAAGGACAATAGCCAGTCTATAGAATATCTTTTTTGGGTCATGTTTTCTTAAAATTGGGACACTGCCTTCTGCCCAAATAACATTTGCTTTTGAAATCAAAGACTGGGAAATTAATGAATACCAATGTTTACTGCAGCCGCTGATGAAGAATCACTCATTGTGCAGCGTGAGCCGATACGTTATAAAGCATCAGACATCAGGAAACACCACGTGGGCAGAATATGTTGATAATGGCACTGCCTGTTCATTTCCATGGACCGAGCACACACACACCGTTACCATCTTAGCCATGAATTCAATTGGAGTTTCTTCAGTTAATTTTAATTTAACTCTATCAGAGCAAATGAGCACAGGTAAGAACACTAATCAGTAGCCATTTTGAGATGTGGAAAATGCTAGGAATCCTTGTGATGCTTTTGGACAAAGCTTTCTTTGTAATAAAATTCCCTTTTGTTACAATAAAAAATGTTTTATGATGATAGGTTGAGCTATATGGGAAACAGATTCTGTATCTCACCAACAGAGCTGTTTGAAAAATGAAATTTCCATGGCATGAAAATCTTTGTGATCTTTGGGTTAAGAAAAGAGTTGTCTTTCCCTGGGCTGTCTTCCCTCCACTAACAGGATATCAAGTAATTAATTACAGAAAAACAAAATCTTACTGTAGAACTGCTCTTTCATCTACTTTGTCCTGGAAACACCCAACATTCCTCCTAGGGAATGTTTTGTTGTTTCCAAAATGAAATATGGTCTTGTTTCCCTGGCTGCTCACCTGATGGGCTGCCAGAGTACATAGTTCTCAGAGGTTTGGCTTTTATTTCCTAAGCAGCCTCTTCATTGATTCGACTGCCCTCTGCTTTATTAATAAAATAAAGGCTATTGCTTCTGAATACTTCAACTCTGTCACATTCATATGCAAATATGTGCTGTGGGAAACATTACTGCAGCCTCGTCGTAGAACTTTACTGCTGTAATGCCATTTTAAAAGCATTTTTTATGGATAAAATTCTTCCTGATCTTGTGTGTAAGCGTATTCTGGAAACCTTGTGGTTGGTAGCAGAGGTAATGGGAAGCGTTTGGCTGCCTGGATCGTGATCCTGGTGTATTACTTAATGAGATTTCACAGGATTTAGTTTTCATGCTCTCAATGTGTGCTTTACTAACTAAATGTTGACAGCTCCGTTGTTATTGATGATTTTTTGCCTCAGGAGTGATAATTAAGGAGGTGCACATGAGAATTGGGATTTTTTATATATATATATATCTGTTAAGAAGCTTGATCTGTTTAGTGTTTGGAATAGTTGGTGTAAACCAAGCTTTGCTGGTTTAAAAAGATGTTTGCTTATGTGAACTAGAGATCAGGCTTTATTTTATAGAAGATAATCATTAAACAAGTAAATGATAAAGTGGAGAAACCACAGCAGTTATTTATGTGCATGTAGTTTATAACATACACCTCTCCTGCTAACCCAGCTCTCATCTCACCTCTGCCTGAGTTCCTGGGATTAATTCCAGGCTGTTTTCTCCCTGTTCCGTCAGTGAACGCTGTGCAGTCGCTCGGCGCTTACCCAGTGAACAGCTCTTGTGTGATTTTGATGTGGACACTTTCACCTCAAATATACACGATAACATCTTTTGTGATTGAATGGATGAACCTCAACAGAGAAGAGGAGATGAAATGGGTGCAAGTTCCTCCAAATATTACTAAATATTATATTTACGGTGAGTGTGCACCTGAAAATGTAATATATTATTTATTTTATTAATTTTATTAATAGTATAATATTATTACATTTATTAATTGTTATAAAACAGAAAAATGTAGTGTTACTGAGCTCTCGGGTTCCTTTTTCCCCCTCTTTCTGTTTCTGGTGGTTTTATGGTAAGGATCAGGGGAGAAATTCTTGACTGTCATTAGAGGACTGACTGTAAAGGATTGACTGCTGCATTAGCAATCAGGTTGACAAAGAGTAAAGCTCAGGACTGGTTCATTTTTTTGGCCATACAATAAAATTAGTGATGGAATATTGAGTACACCAGCTAATTATCTAAGTTAATATAGAATCATAGAATCATAGAATGGTTTGGATTGGAAGGGACCTTAAAGCTCATCCAGTCCCAACCCCCCTGCCATCAGCAGGGACACCTTCCACTAGACCAGGTTGCTCAAAGCCTCATCCAGCCTGGCCTTCAACACTTCCAGGGAGGAGCAGCCACAACTTCCTTGGGCAACCTGTTCCAGTGTCTGACCACCCTCACAGTGAAGAACTTCGTCCTAATATCTCATCTAAACCTCCCCTCTTTCAGCTTAAACCCATTTCCCCTTGTTTTGTCATTAACTGCCCTTATGAAAAGTCCTTCCCCAGATTTCTTGTAGGCCCCTTGGCTTTAAATTTCTAAGATCTACAATAGCTCCGTAAAGGTGTTAATTCCATGAGGAAATAATGGCAGATTATCCAGTATAGATTAATAATTTTAACTTTCCAATATTACAGTGGGTATCTATAAAAGATGGCTCTCATTATTCCCCTCTCTGAGCTGATTTGAACTCTGATATGTGACCAGAGTCTCTGTGGGGGTAGCTGTTTAAAAGTAGGATGATAATTTTGATTCAGAAGGCTGATTGCCTCATTCCAGATCACTTTATTCTGATTGAGAAGTACCGGTTCAGCCTCTACCCCGTGTTTGCTGGAGGAGTTGGCAAATCCAGAGCAACGGATCAATTTACCAAAGGTGACTGATTTACAGGATTTTTCTCTGTGTTGTTTAGGAAACAGGAGCTTGTAGAAATAAATTTAAATGCAGAGGAAGTTTCTATCTTATCAGGAAACAGTCAGTAACTAATTGTAATTACAACTATAAACAGGGATCTAGACTTCAGTTGCTTTATTTTGAAATCTTTGTGGGATTAATTGCATGAGGGACCTGAATTCCTGCGCATCTAACTTCACAGCCAAGGTCCCAGGTCCCTGTGGTTCTTCATTCTCCAATTGTGGACTGTTCTAATTTCATATAGTCTGATTTAATTTCTTAATACTAAGGGAGCAGTGGGCACCTCTGACAGGGATGGAGGAGGCACCTCAGTATTTAAAATGATTCCTTTTTGTCTGTTTGTTCTCGAGGTAAAGATTTATTGATGTTCAATAAAACAGTTTATCAGGGTTTTTTTGCATTTAAGCTGTTGTTTCTGCTGTTTGTTATTTCCCTATTGCAAACTAATTGTTCACAGACAAATTATTATTCGGCATTATTATCTGAATTCCTTTTATTTCCAGCTGGATATGAAAATGAGACTAATTCCAGCCTCTATGTGGTTCTGCCAATAGTTATTTCAACCTCAGTTTTATTGCTTGGAGCGTTGCTGGTTTCACACCAAAGGTAAGTTGTTTGTTGTCATATAAAAGTCCCAGAAGATCTTTAGAAGAAGGTGATGCTGCTTAGATGATGCCTGTCTGCTGAAGTGGTGGGCAGGGCCTTTCTGGGGAAAGGTAGGAATTATTTGTGTCGTATATTTGATGTACTGTACTGAAAGACAGCAGCTCTGTGGAACGCAGCACCTGGAAGTCAAGTGTCTTGAGTGCACAGGCTTGTTACCCTGCGCAGGTCAGACCCATGGCCTTTTGGGTCTGGTGTCCTTGCAGTAAGATGATGATCAGCGCTGTTCATTTTCACTGGGAAGTGTCACTTCAGCCTGTGCCACCTGCTCCTCACTTCTGCAGGGTGATGTGTGTGGGCAAGTTAACGAGTGTGGAGTGCTCTGAAGTTGTGAAGCGCTCCGAGTTCCGTATCTAATGGTCACCACAAAGGACAGGCTGAACTCAAAGCCAATTGAAAAAAATCCCCCTGAGTTTTGAGGAAGGTGGGTTGGGGTTGTGTTCAGCAAAGACTTGCCTGGACCTTTTATATTTTGCTAAACTGCCACCTGCTGTGCTGCTGCTTTATTTCTTTATATATTTTTTTTTCTATTAAATTTTGGCCATCTCTTGTGTCTGAAGCACTTGGTTCATTGTCACAGTGTTCTGGATAAATGAAATTGCACAGAATTGTCCTTTTCTGCCATGCAGCAGTACAGAATCCATGAGAACAGTACCAACTCCACAATTTACCTCATATTTCAGAATGAAGAAACTCTTTTGGGAAGATGTTCCAAACCCCAAGAATTGCTCCTGGGCACAAGATGTTAATTTTCAGAAGGTGTGTATTTCCCTGGTGATGCTTCTTCCCCCACCCCGGGGGTCTGACTGCTGTTTGCTTAGTGCTGAACTGGACCTGTTGGTTAGACTAGACCCTGACTCAGTTACTGAACGAAGCGACTCAGGGCCTCTGAAGTGTGTGACACAGCCGTTGTCTCAGCTGTAGAAAGTTAAAATGGAGAAATGGGCCAGGACCAGAGACCAACAGCTCTTTGAATGGAAATTTCAGGGCAATTAGTAAATCAGTTGCAGAATCATAGAATCATAGAATGGTTTGGGTTGGAAGGGACCTCAAAGCTCATCCAGTTCCAACCCCCCTGCCAGCAGCAGGGACACCTTCCACTAGACCAGGTTGCTCAAAGCCTCATCCAGCCTGGCCTTCAACACTTCCAGGGAGGAGCAGCCACAGCTTCTCTGGGCAACCTGTTCCAGTGTCTCACCACCCTCACAGTGAAGAACTTCTTCCTAATATCTCATCTAAACCTCCCCTCTTTCAGCTTAAACCCATTTCCCCTTGTTTTGTCATTAACTGCCCTTATGAAAAGTCCCTCCCCACCCTTCCTGGAGCCCCTTCAGGTGCTGGGAGGCCGCTATAAGATCTCCCCGGAGCCTTCTCTTCTCCAGGCTGAACAGCCCCAACTCTCTCAGCCTGCTGAATCCCACAGGTGTAATACTCATGCACCTCAGTGAGTGCCACGTGTGTGTACCGAGGGCAAATTCTTTGGGGTAAACTGCCTCTGCGTTGGGCTGCGAATCGGGAGCTGTGGTGTGATGAGCTGTGAGAAGAGTGAGACTTTACATGGACTTCACCAGTTTGCAGCAGCAGAAAGTTTCTCATGGTCCCAGAGTCTGAGCGTGTGTAATCACTGAGACAATAATCATATCACAGAATCATAGAATTGTTTGGCTGGAA